AAAGGAGTTCATCACTGACCAAATTTGACAGCTTGATTCTTGCCCTACATATTTAAAATCAAATTTTAGACTAAAAGTTGCTTCATCCAACTCTTAGTATGTCAATGGAAAAAAATTAACAGTCCTAGTGATTTTTCTAAAGGAAGCAAAATTTCAATAAAATAGAAAAGTATTTTTATAAGATATTTAGCAGATATTATTCAATTAGGTAATGTAGAACTTAACATTTTGGATTTCCACTTAATAGGTACCAGTTTATATCTAAGCAAGATTAAGTTTTAGTAAGGTCAGGACTTTATTTCAACAAACCATTTATTTTTCCACTTTAATTTTTTTATTTTAAAGAGAATAAAAAACAATACAGAATTTCAAAACAAGGTGGCCTTCAAAGTAGTTGCTTAGATTACCAGATATAGGCTTAAAGATAATACTATAGCTATGTTTATTTAAACTGAAACTTCAAGAAATATTTTTTTTAAATTAAATGTTCTGGGCAGACCAGATAGCTTGGTAGATTAAAGTGCCTGCTTAGGCAGACACAGGGACCAGAATTTGATCCCCGGCGTGCCATGCCAGCCTCGCTCCTGGAGTGCACAGAGAAGGTGATTGAGACTGGGCATGGTAGCGCAAGCCTGTAATCTCAGGGCTTGGGAGGCTGAAAACAGGAGCATCACTACGAGTCCAATCTGTGTAGGGAGACCCTGTAGACGCTGTACTAAATACATTTTAAAAATTCAAATAAAAAATAAAAATTAAATGTTCAGATTAATCATTATAATAAATAGATGGAAAGAGCTCCATCTTGCCCCCTGGAAGGCAGACATAACTTTTTGTGTATAGATGATACCAGGCAATAAATCTTGGGTCTCCTGCATGCTAAGCAAGCACACTATCAGTGACATATACCCATAGCCTCCTTTTTCATTCTTCCTTTCTCTTTTTGACGTAGAGTCTCACTAAGTTGCCCAGGCTAAATTCAAACCTATCTTCCTTCCTCACCCTGCAAAGCAGCTGAGATTAAAGGTATGCACCACCACTCACAGCTGAGACAAAATGAGCTATGTCATTTAATTTTTCTTTTCTCAAGAATTCAAAGACCAGGGGCCAGGGAGATGGCTCAGTAGAATAGGCACTTGTCTGGCAAGTGCAAGGGCCTGAGTTCAATCCCCAGTTCCACCAAAAAAAAAAGGAATTCAAAGACCAGTGTTATTGGCTATTAAAACAACAGCATCACCTATAATATTCAAATAATGAAACTTAACAAAAAGGGGATGCAGATGAATGTCCATTTTGTATCTGTGTGTTCATATGGCTAGGATCGATATACAGTTACATTCTCTTAATGAATACAGGGATTTGTTCTAATGGTCTTTGTAAGTAGGATATCATGTCTGCATCTTGTACAGCAATTAACCACTAGGAAGAATGTATACAATGTGTTAATTATTGGAACTGTCCTACCAGTTTGGTTTGAAACTGTCTCATCGCTATTGATTCTCAATAAATTTATGGAAAAAATTAAATTAAATTAAATTAAAAAACAGCATCAATAGAACTTATGAAATTTAAATGTATGCATGCATGCATACATATAACATATGCATACGTATGTATGCAAAAGAATACACAGACCACACGGTGTTATGTTCGCTTCGGCATTCATTCCCATTTAGGTGAGGGGGCAGCATGCATGATTAGTCCTTTTATTTCACTTCATTGTATGGCAATAACACATGCTACAGTGATAGCACACTACAGCAAGAAAGCTGCTGAGGACTCAGACTTTATTCTCTGCTCTATAATTCTTTACTCTGCTTCTAAGTAACTTCCAGAAAGTAAGTAAATCCTAAATGTATAACAGCCTGATATTGCAAAGAACTATAGGGCTAGAGAAATAAAGTAAGTGATGATATGGCAAACTTGAAAACTTTTAAGAATAGAAGACATTTATCAAAGAAAGCTCAGAAAAAATCAGTTTACTTACTACAATAAAATAGCTCTGTAAGCATACCACTGCGAACAAAAAAGGTTTAGAAACATTGTTTGGGTGTTAATACATTGTTACACACTGTTAAATTATGGTCTACCAACTTTTCCCCTACTTACCTGCCTTCTCAGATCTAATGATGTTTACAAATTTCAATGTGAGAAGCTAAAGTTCTAGATTTCATCCAGAAATAAAAAGTAATTGTTATAGCTACTCTTCTATTTATATCATACCTAAATTTTAGTGCTACCTGACATACACAAATCATACTTAACATTGATTTTTGAAGTTTCCTACAAACTGGGAACAATTTCTTATGCATCTCAAAATTAAGCAGTTTTTATTAACAATGCCAACTCAAATGTTTTATAGTTTCCAACATTTTTACTTTCTTTACCTTAACTTTCTTGAAAGATAGAAATTATAACCTCTATTATATAACTGAAAGAGTTAGCTGACCTGCCCAATATCCCTTATCTGGTTAAAAGGCTAGGGAAAAACTGCTGTCTTACTCTATTTTACAGTGTTACCTTTCTTGCTTTCGCTATCCTAATTACAAAAAAAGAAAAAGCAAAAAGCAAGCAGAAAAACAACCAATAACCAAACAAATAAGCAAAAAAACAAACCTCTGTGACCTCTGAACACAAGAAAGGCTTCTGTTTAGAACCGTGTAACCATAGTGGCTCCAGAGAAAGTCATTCATGCATGTGTGGGGGGTGTTAAACACCTAGGCATAGAGCTATTTTTTAAAAGAGCCTCTGAAACATCTAGCTTTCTCCGTATCCACGCCACTTCCCTGACATTCTAACACCAAAGTCATCAATGAATTTTTATACTTTATTTTCTGAAAATAAGAGATAGCAATGCCACCACTTTGTTCTCTTCCTCAGTGCAAGAAGAAATCTCTGGGTTCTTAGGGCTACGTGTTTTTATCTGGAAAGAATACACTAAGAAGCAAAATATGTAGTGAATAGTTCTTATTCATAAGGCAAGGCAATCTTATAAAAAATAAATTGTATATTTTTATTTTTAGAAACTAGAAAAAAGAAAATAGAAAATACACTGATTAAACATTAGATCAACGTATCAACTGAAGATACCTGTCTCTTCAGACTATTTTAGTAATCAGAAAACATTCTTGTTTTGGTATTTCCTATACAAAATACTTGAGTGTACAATTGTCTATCCTACTTGTAAAAATACTACCTAGCTTTATAAAACAGATGAAATATCTGTATTTATGTTTCTTAAATACAGACAATCCTTCTTTTATGATGATTTAACTTACCATTTTTCAACTTTAGTATGATGCCAAAGTAATATGAATTAGGAAGAATCCCAACTTTCAGTTTTGAATTTGGGGCACTTCCTAGACTAGAGATACACGTAAAATTCTCTCTAAATGCTAGGTGAAGGCAGTAATCAGCAGCTCCTAGTCAATCACACCAAGCAAACAACTCATAGAATAAGTGCACTGCGTTGCTAAGCTATGATGCTAGGTAGGTTAGGTATATTAAAAATATTTTTAACTTACAGTCTTTTCTTTCATGCAAGCATGCACTCTCCCATGAGCTACACCCCAGTCTAACTTGAAACATTTTCAACTTAAACTGGCTTTAACATTATGGAATCCCATTTTTAGTCAAGGACAATCTGTATACAATTTCAAGTTACCTTAATGGTTTTATCCATATCTCCATAGCAGAGGGAGTTAAGAGAGATTTTAAAAGGCTTCCAAACAGGATTCAAGTTGTTTTTAATAACCTATGAAGTTGAAGATTCAAGGATCCATTAGAACAACATCCAGTTCATTCATGTTTTTCTTTTCCTTTGTAAGGCTGTAGGGTCAAATAGGAACTTACTCTAACATAAAAGAAAAGAATGCTTTAAGACTAACAGGGTTATGTTAAGAACTCAGGAGCCATTTAAAAGAGTTTTCCCTGGTCATATCTGGATTAGTTTCAATACCAAAAATAATGGCATTAATGAATTGTAACAACTCATGAGTTTATAATGGCACTAAAAATAGAGTAAGAGATGAAAGAGGGATGCCTATTAGTATAAGTAAAAGGAATAAAAATTCAGAAAACAAATCACTTTTTTACAGTCCTTGACATAATTGATTCAAGTAAAGATGATCAATGAATGTGAAAAACACTAAAGAGAAGAGATAATTAATGCAGTCTCAAAGTATCCCATCACAAATCAAGTTATTAGGTAAAAAATGAGATTTATTGTGGCAGGATCTCATGGTCACCACTTAACCAACTGCCCATGTCTGGCATCATCAATACTGGTCAGTCCGACATGAGGAGCCCCAGTGATACAAAGGAGCATACAACGTGCTCATGACAAGTTTGTTTCATCTGGATATATTTGGGAGGAAAAAGAAAAAAACTACGTGTTGGGCATTCTTAATTATTCAAGAAGTTCAATGGCATGGAAGTCTAGAGAGGTCATTAATAGAGTTCTACGTTGAGAACACAAGAGCCAAAAGTAAAACTTGAGCCTTTACTGGATCTTGGCCAAAACAAAGCAGAAAATACATGCAAAATATGTATGGAACATCTGAAAAAATAGGAGTATGAATGCAACATTCAAAGACACTACAAAACCAATGTTACTTCTCTCATGTGCAATGGCACAGATTGCCTTATTTTAGAAAAACGCCTGCTACTGCATGGAAAGGGGAAGAGTCTCAAAGTATTACATCTGCAGCATACACTAGGATGATTTTGTGAGAGGAAATGTGTATGTGTGTGTGTGCGTGCGCATGTGTGTGTGTGTGTATGTGTGTGTGAGAGAGAGAGAGAGAGAGAGAGAGAGAGAGA